ATACACACAGACAGACACGCCAAAGCAATACCTCCATTTTTCATGGAGGTAAAAACTAAGAAAAGGGGGGGCACATTAATTGTTCCCCTAACGCTACTGTACTACTTGCCTGCCCTTATGGTTTGATTATGGTTGTCCTGACAGTTAAAAAAGAATGAGGGAAAATGCAGTTCCGAGTCAATACGACCCTGCTGTTTCTAACAGACTAGTATATTTTCGGGAGAAGCGAGACCTCGTCAACAACAACACAATTCAGTCAGGAGGTGCGCAGAAACAAATTGCAGTCCTTATCCTGTCAATCAGGGTGAAACCATTGCGAATTAATTGGGGGGATACCGTAAAAAAAGCTAGAGAAAGTCACCGATATTATTATCAGCTTGAATTCTGTCTTTTTTTCGTGGTTAGGGGGAGACATACAAGTATGCCTAAGAGGATACAGGAGCCTACTAAGATCATCGCTATTGATCTAAAACGTTTATAGTTTACGAACCCCCCACCTCCCATCACAGGATAAATGTGATCCAACCGTTATGATGACTCATCAACAGGTGGAGGCGTTTGCACTGACGGGTTTCTAATAACGTGACTTCTACACAAACATCACAAAGACACCTGTAGCATAGGAGAATTAACAGACTTAGTGTTGAGTGATAAATTCTAAATTATTCATGACGGCGGCTTCAGTTAACAATACCCTGGATTAACTTTATGACCTCTGCCAGTTTCCCACCATAGAACATGTATAGAACCTGCCACATCTAATTTCATTAACGTGGGACAAGCTGAGCCATTCACACAGCTACAGGGACGTTGATAATGTCTGAGTTTCCATAGAAATAATAGATTGCCTAAAATATGGGAATAAAAAAAAACGTTGACGTGTCTGTTCCAGCGAACATATCTATAGCTGTTATAAGTAGAACTCCAGGCAGTATCCATTGGCCAGAGAGAGTCCAACACGCCACCCAAGGATCTGAAGGAAGTCACAAAGAACAAGGCTATTGGACGGTAGCCTCCACCAGGCCTTTCTACGGGTATAAGGATCTTAGAATTCGTGAAAAAAGCTTAGAGAGTAAAATTGGCCAAGGGAGTCCGACCGCGGGGAGGTAGTTTATTTCCTTCCGCGGCCAGTCGAACCTACAAGGCGGCCAAACTCCCCAGGAAAATATTCTCCTATATAGCCAGCGTACTTAGTCTGGTAGAGACTAATTGAACGGCACGGGGGGGGGGCGCAATCTTTTCAGAAACTTGTCAGAATTAAAAAGAACGTGTTTCCGCTCTAATCTCCAAGCAGATTCGGAGGGCAGGTGGACTGTACGTTGGCCGCCTGTATCTATATAGGCCGCATGTACCCAACGTTCGCGAAAAATTGAATGAATGAAAGATTTTTATTGTACGATTGTGCTCTTACAAGCTAAAGTACAGGTCATGGATAAACAAGGAAAAAGAATACAGCAATAACACTTACAAACTATACATACTAATGTGATGTTACAGATTAAGCTTCTCGCTTCTTGACGCAGTCAAAGATGTGCGAACATATTGTGCTAATGATACCTGGTTTGTCAAGTTTCATGAGGAATTCGAATTTTTCTGTCTAAATGTCCAAAGCTTGGGAACTTATCTATTACATAGGTATGGAGGGAATACCTGTCATTTCTATATAATGTGCAGTCAACTACAAAATGGCATTCATCTTCAATATAATCTAGATTACAAAATTGGCAGATCCTTTGCTGTACAGTGTAGAGTCTCTTTTTAACCTCCTTGAGAGGAGTGCGGTTGTGTCTGCCTTTTTCAATGTGGAGTTTGTGTGAACTTATCCGGAGTTTTGTGATGGCTGTTCAGAAAATAGCTATAGCACATAAAAGCACATAAAAGCTCCCGAAGACCCCGAAACCCCCAGTTTTTGGCATGCTATGAAGGCTACCTTGCCCCACCGAATTTGCTTGAAAATTATTTCTGCTCCGCCTCGTGCCTACTTTTATTCCTTTTACAACCTCTTCATGCCTGTATTTGGGACAAACGCAGCCAGCCGCGCCAATTCACAGCGGGAGCTTCGCCCCGATACAGAAAATACAAGTTACAACGGAGATTCTCTTACCCTCCAAGCAGAGGTTGTGGGGGAATGATCGTTAGCTTTTTATACTGTCTTGCCACCGAAAGGGATCTGCTTGGATATTAGGATTCTCTATCAGGCTTGGGAAAGTGGCTGTAAAGGGTAGAAAGAACACTACTCTTCAAGCAGAGTTTTGGGTATGTATAATCCTTGGGTTATCGTTTTGGCTTAATTATGGGTTCACCACACCACGAAGTGGTGGTGAACCCATATTGCTTTTTCTGATGTTTCTTCTTCTCCTTCTCCTTCTCCTCCTGCCATTTTTATGGGTTCACCACACCACGAAGTGGTGTGGTGAAACCATATTGCTTTTTCTGATGTTTCTTCTTCTTCTTCTTCTCCTCCTCCTTCTCCTCCTGCCTATTTTTTAAATGGATTCAGCTTCTTCATTTTAGGGCCCAAGGTCCTGAAATTTGGTATGGAGGTACAGTGGGCAAATACCCCTAGGTCGTTTTTTTAATTATTGTGATACAGGCTTTTAGAATTGTTTTATTTGAGTTTTTGGCTGTGTTATAGCAAATGTATTACTGTGTTAGTGTGCCTTGTTTACCACGTTTGGGCATGAGTCATCACAATGGAATGCAGGGCATCAACCAATAGGCATGCAGCTTTCCTCTATACTTCTTGCTGATTGGCTGTTGGGATTTAACTTGATTAACACCTGCACAGAAGCATTTCTGACAGTATGTCTGTATTCAAGTGTTTTGGTAGGTATTTCAAGCTTTCCTGCTCCAGCATTGGAATGCCGGGCATGGACGTTTTTATTTTATTTTGAAAATCAACAGTTTGCATTATGCAATTAAAAATCCTAACCAATAAAGTAGGGAATAGCTATCCAACTGTTGTTTTAGTTGTATTTTACTTCATATTATAGTAATATCAATGTAAATCATTGTTTTCCCTTGTGTTTCCCATTCTTTCCCTGCCATGTCGTAAAATGTGGTGAACCCATCGCTGTATTTGCTCCAAAGCAAATATTGGCCTTTCTAGTTTAAATGGATTCAGCTTCTTCATTTTAGGGCCCAAGGTCCTGAAATTTGGTATGTAGGTACAGTGGGCAAATACCCCTAGGCGTTTTTTAAATTATTGTGATACAGGCTTTTAGAATTGTTTTATTTGAGTTTTTTGGCTGTGTTATAGCAAATGTATTACTGTGTTAGTGTGCCTTGTTTACCACGTTTGGGCATGAGTCATCACAATGGAATGCAGGGCATCAACCAATAGGCATGCAGCTTTCCTCTATTCTTCTTGCTGATTGGCTGTTGGGATTTAACTTGATTAACACCTGCACAGAGCATTTCCATACTGACAGTATGTCTGTATTCAAGTGTTTTGGTAGGTATTTCAAGCTTTCCTGCTCCAGCATTGGAATGCGGGGCATGGACGTTTTTTTTTTATTTTGAAAATCAACAGTTTGCATTATGCAATTAAAAATCCTAACCAATAAAGTAGGGAATAGCTATCCAACTGTTGTTTTAGTTGTATTTTACTTCATATTATAGTTATATCAATGTAAATCATTGTTTTCCCTTGTGTTTCTCATTCTTTCCCTGCCATGTCGTAAAATGTGGTGAACCCATCACTGTATTTGCTCCAAAGCAAATATTGGCCTTTCTAGTTTTAGGCGTTTTTTGTCGGGGTTTCTTTTTTGCACTAGAATTCTTTTTTCACCAAACCCAACAAAATTGTGTGCTTGTGCACTTGCGTATTTTGTTCTCACCAGAGCCAACACAAAGAAGTATCGTTTCCTTAGCTTTTTTAAGGAAGCTTCCTCAATAAAAGAGTCATGCGGTGATTTAGCAAGAAAAGAATTTAATGGTCATCACTTCGACAAGATTCCCACCCGCGTGGTATATATGCTCATTTCTTACCTTGCTCGACAACATGCCGAAACGCAAGCGCTATTACACCAAGGCGACTAGGAATGGTACCTAAAGCGAGGTAAACATTTTCTCAGTCCTCAGTTTCACTTAATTAGTCCTCTTCAAAGAAAAAATAATAATATACATATTGTAGGTTTCTGCTCTCGCAATATGCATACAAATAATCGGGGTTGACCTGACGCTTAATTCTACATACATGTTTCTCAAATGTGCATGTTTTCCTTCTACTAGATAAGTCATCTGAGCGAGACGCAGTTGGAGAGTGGGGACACGCAGTCAGACTGTCTCAGAAAATCACAGCGCGTCTTGGACAATCTGGTGCTGCCTTCAGCCGACCACCAACCACATCGAATTTAATCAAAGACATTTTACAAGATCTTGCTCCTATAGACCTCGGTCACCGCCTATAGAAACCAACACAGTATACCCATGTGCCCATCGTTTCTAGTCTGAGATGGATACTCGTAATGATCAGTCGAAATCCCGCGGGTCTGTACAGTTATGACATTCCACATAAGTACATGGACAAGGTGATTCCCCAGATAAATCCAGACAAGGAGAATTAGACGGGGGTCAAACGGAGTCCACTATATATCGCTTATGCTTAACAATGCCCAATATTTTGTCCATCAAGTTGGCTGAAGATGAATGTATCATTTTCATAGGTCACGACCGAACGTACTTTCATACAACAAGTTTTCCTGCATTTCTGCCATAAACCAGTATTAGATGGAGTTTTACAGGAACTATGCTGGAATGTCAACTGACACCCCACTGGGCGATAATCCACAAAAGCCAGCCCAGACCACCATACGTAAAAAGTTGGCTGAAAAATTTTCTCTCCAAGCAGAGGTTGGTGGGGAAGATTGTTACTTTTCTATTATGCCCCTTTCTTTCTGTCGCTACTTCCACTATCTGTTGGGTGAAAGGTAACAATTTCCCCCCTCCAACCTCAGCTTGTAGATTAGAAAAGTTCACAATTGTCTACCACCCATTACGAATTCCGCTCCAGCCATTGACCTGAAAGAAGGGTCAGAATCATTAAATCAATCATCAACAAGGAAGTCAAGTATTTAGCTCCTGTCCTTTCAACACAGATTAACGCCATACACATCTTGTTTTGGAATGCGGGTTCGTCTCCAAATTTTGTATATAACCACTAGTATTTTAGAAAAAAATGTGTTAGGACACTTACTAATTGAGGGATAACAGGAAAACAAGGTAACAAGGAAAATCATTTTATTCGTCATGAAAACAGCAATAAATTACTGGGAAAGCTCTTGTCGTCCTGTTTTTTTCTTTCTGGCTTCCTTATTTTATTTATTTATTCATCTGTTTGGCTCACGCTCGTCCCCAGCGCCCGTGGAGAAGCCATAGGCATAGATCGTGGCTTAGCCCAGGCTATGGAAAATAAACTTTCTTTAATGCAAATCTGTCGTTTTTGTTTTCTTTGCGCTTTCTAAAGGGTAATGATAACCTACTCTACTCTGGCGGTATTGTCGTGCGCGCTCGCTAGTACGTAACGTTACACGGCGGTCATCTGAATACATGTACACTGCATTCTTTCTACTATCGGGACCTAAAACAAGACGCAAGCTTCCTATTTTGGGGTATAAAATGCTGTGAGGGTGTACCGTTACCTCTCTAAATTTGCCCAGAAGGGACTTAGTCGCGGAAGGAACTTAGCCACGGAGGGAGTTTTGGCATTCTCCACATAAGACATTCTAGTCAGGTTTCACGAATTTTGTTATGTTTACCGAAGAAAAACATATTGTTTCTGCGCTGTTTCTTCCTCTTCTTCTTCTCCAACCAGTGACCTCTGGCCTGACCAATGACATGATTTGTTGACGTCTGTCACCATGGTGACTGGTTTTGGGTTACATAATGTTGCAATTTTATGGTCTCCTCTGCTCCATTCACCACATACTAGTTTATGTTTATTTTACATATTGACCCCAACAGTTTGGGGGTCAGCAGAACAGACTGGAGAGTGCTGGCGGAAAACAGAACATCCTGGAGGGACATGGCTACAGCCGCTATGCATCTAGTCTGATGCCTGCGGCTTGATATACCCCAAACGTAACGTTTGACATGGAAATGACACACGTGATGTTTGACATTCGCAGTTTTGACACGGAGATAACGGGAAAAAATAAAACAATTTATCTTCTCTAGTTTTCCTTCTTTTTTTAATTAGTTATTTATATTATACCCCAATTAAAAACTGAAATAATGCCGTATTCCTGCTAGTTTACACGAATTGTAAAAATGTCATCAATCTAGAAAGGTTCGCCAGCAAATACAGCATATTTCTCTTCATCTTTCTCCCAACCGTTTTCCAAACTCATTTGTTTATTAGGTCCGCATGCTCCTCTGGGGGTACACCGCCTCTACATAAAGCAGAGGGAGCATTGTGGCTTTACTCATGGATATAATCTTGTTTCCACATAATATTAAATTTCCGGGGAATGCTTTGAAGTAACATACATATATAGGCTTTGTCAATACAAACACACAAAAATATTAAATGTCTTTACCTGTTGTGGGAGTAGTAGCAGCCCCTGCAGTTGAAGAGACAACTGTGCTGGTGGCAGCTGTTGTAGTGGCCACAGCTGTAGTTGTTGTTGGTGAAGGTGTGGTGACTGTTGTGCAATATACCGTGTATAGAAAGAGAACAAATCTGAGATAAATTTAGCTATTTTGTGCCAAAATATTTTTTTAGAATATCATTGGTAGAATGACATTAAATATAACCCCATACGGATAACTGAGCAGCTGCGAAAAAATCACCCAATACACGCACTTCCACACTTTTTCTCTCTTTTTTCCAGTTAATGCCAAAAATGGGATTGTATCTAATGCAGATAACAGAATGTTCTAAAAACGAGAAAACTATCAAAAACAACTTTGTTGACCCTTGTTTAAACTCTTCAAAAATAATAGTGCAGTGACCTGTAAAGGAACTTGCTGTAACAGTTAAGTAAAGTAAAAAAAAAAAGATCATTTAAAAGGAGCACCCATACAAAAATTAAAGCTTTGTAATAAAGTTTCTCAGTACCAAATGTTCGGATACACCCATCAGTCAGATTATAGGGTCTGAGAGGGACTCTTCCTCTCTCTTTGTCTCTGTCTCTCTCTCTCAGTCTCTCTCTCTCTCTCTCTCCTCTCTCTCTCTCTCTCTCTCTCTATCTAGAGAGAGAGAGAGAGAGGAGAGAGAGAGAGAGAAAGAGAGAGGGAGGGAGAGAGAGAAATAGAGAGACCCTCTACACATACAGATAAGGGTTAGGTGATTTTACCTGTTGTGGGAGTAGTAGCAGCCCCTGCAGTTGAAGAGCCAACTGTGCTGGTGGCAGCTGTTGTAGTGGTCACAGCAGGAGTTGTTGTTGGTGGTGAAGGTGTGGTGACTGTTGTGCAATATACCGTGTATACAAAGAGAACAAATCTGAGATAAATTTAGCTATTTTGTGCCAAAATATTTTTTAGAATAACATTGGTAGAATAAAATTATATATAACCTGATACGGATAACTCAGCAGCTGTGAAAAATCACCCAAAACACGCACTTCCACACTTTTTCTCTCTTTTTTCCCGCTAATGCTAAAAATGGGATTGTATCGAATGCAGATAAGAAAATGTTCTAAAACGAGAAAACTATCAAAAACAACTTTGTTGACCCATGTTTAAACTCTTCAAAAATAATAGTGCAGTGAAGTGAAGTGAGAGAGACTTGCTGTAACAGCCAGTTGCAATTGTCTTAAGTAAAGTAAAAAAAAAAGATCATTTAAAAGGACCACCCATACAAAAAAGTAAAGCTTTGTAATAAAGTTTCTCAGTACCAAATGTTCGGATACACCCATCAGTCAGATTATAGGGTCTGAGAGGGACTCTTTCACTACCAAAAATGATTTTTCTTGTTTTTCTTGTTTTTCTTAATTCGTGGACAAATTTTCTTACATGAAGAAATTTCAAGAACAATTAAGAATAAATAAGAAAAGAGCAACAGATCGTTCTAAAATTTTTTTCTTGTAAATTTTCACTACAAGAAACATTTTCTTATTTTTCTTACGTGAAGAAATAATTTCTAGCAGTGATTTTCTCCCCCTAGAATGTTCTAGAAAATTGAGTTAAATGGTCTTGTTTTTCTTATCTGAAGAATTACTTTCTTGCCATGGTTAAGAAAATACAAGAATTTTTCCCTTAAGTTTCTTGTATTTCTCATAGTAAGAAAAACAAGAAAAGCAGGGTTTAAAAAACAAGTCATAACTAGAATAACATTCTTGAATTTTCTTGTTTTTCATATCAAGAAACTTTGAGAAAGGAAGTTCTTGCTTTTCTTGGGCTGTGTCAGAAAAAACAAGAATTTTGATCTAACCTTTCTTGAGTATATTGCTTAGAAAAACAAGAATATTCAAGATATTGAAACTAGAAGACAAAGATCAAGTCATAACTAGAATAACATTCTTGAATTTTCTTGTTTTTCATATCAAGAAACTTTGAGAAAGGAAGTTCTTGCTTTTCTTGGGCTGTGTCAGAAAAAACAAGAATTTTGTTCTTCACTTTATTGACATATGTTGCTTAGAAGAAAGTGTTTATTGACAGTAAGAATTTTGGTCTTGAACTGAGAACCAAAGTCTCAAAGAAATAATAAGAATTTCTGTCTTGAGGAAAAAGATATGCATTCTTGTTGTAAGAACATGAAACTTAAATAGAAGAAAGGCTTTCTTGACAATAATAATATAATAGTAATATCACTCTTAAAGTTAGAAAAGGAATCTTGGTGTAAGAATCTATTTTTGGGATATTAAGAATTTGTTCTTGTTTTTTTTGTAATTTAGAAAGTTGAGCAATCTGATTCTAGATTCTTTTAGTAATGTCAGAGACAAGAATTAGTTTCTTTACTTTCTTGACTTTGAATAATTCTATACTTGTAACTAGCATAGTTTCACTTATCTAGATAGTTCAAGAAAATGATTCTTGTTTTTCTTGGTCAGGTTATGTTCAAGAAAATACAAGAATCTGTGTCTTTGCTTTCTTTTTAGACAAAAAAAATGGTTGAATTAGAAATCAAATTTAAAACCTGAAAGCAAAAAATACTTAAAGTTCTTTAACGTTTTTGTTTTCCTTATCGAGAAAGTTCAAGAAAGGTGAGTTTTTTCCCTGGTAATGTTTAAGATAATGTAAGAATTTTTTTCTTAACATTCTAGCCATAACTGTCATGTGATCTCTTGTGAGCTCCTGATTGGTTAATTCAAATCCCAGAATGCAGTTAGGGATTTTTGAACAGAAGCTGGGGTGAAGTCAGATGTGGGGGCAGTGCTCTGTGCTGGTTACTTCTTTTTAGTCAGATATTGATTCATATCGTCGGATTTGAAGTCAAAATCAAGGTAAAAAGGACCTTGTGAGCATGTGAAGCAATGCTGATCGTGTCGGCTTGCAGAAGAAACCAACTTTGCAACGAAAAAAGGATGGAACCAAACTTATATAAGGTAAGTGCGCCCCCCCTCCCCACCAAGAAGAAAAAATCTGTTGACATTGTTTTTAGACTTCATAGCTTATTTGCTACAATTCCATTGGGGTTGATTTCTAAATTGTATCTCTGGTATATTGTAGAGTACAGTGTTTTACTGCATTATAATTATATTATTTTCAATTGTTGAGTAAACTTGAAGTAATTCAATCCTATTTTTAGCATCCTCTTTTGACTTTGTTGTCTTCAGCCCCTGCATGCAATGCAAACTAAGAAAGGTCTTTCCTGTTTTTTTCAGGTTTCCAAAGACTGTGACTGTGCCAATGCTATAATGCCAAAGCTGCAGGGTTTGCTGAATGTTTTGGAATGTGATATGATCTGTATTCTTTAACCATGATAATGGCTTGTTGGTTACATCGTATGATAGTTTTAAGTTTACTGTAAAACTTGTTTCCATTCAAAGAATGTTAGATACATGTACATAATGAATGTGGTAATGAATATTCCTATACTGTCAGTGTCAAGAGAGGCCTGTCAAATAATTGTTATAGGATTTTAATTGTTGCAATATCATTCTCTGTAACATTATTTCTTCTTTTGTGGACAAAATAGTTTTATTGATACAAGAATATTGAGCTCTAAGTTCAAGAAATATTTTCTTATGTGCAGAATGTTTTTCTCATTATAAGAACTGTTAGCTAGCTCTTAGTTCAAGAAATGTTTTCTCGTATACAGAATGATTTTCTTGCTACAAGAATAATTAGCTCTTAGTTCAAGAAATATTTTCTCGTCTACAGAATGGATTTCTTATTACAAGAGCAGTTAGATCTTAGTTCAAGAAATCTTTTCTTATATACAGAATATTTTTCTTATTACAAGAACAGTTAACTCTTAGTTCAAGAAATATTTTCTTGTCTACAGAATGGTTTTCTTACTACAAGAACAGTTAGCTCTTAGTTCAAGAAATCTTGTCTACAGGTAATTGGTTTTCTTACTACAAGAACAGTTAGCTCTTAGTTCAAGAATATTTTCTTGTGGGCAGAATGGTTTTCTTGCTATAAGACAAATGCTCTTAGATCAAGAAATATTTTCTTGTGTAACAGTTAGCTCTTCGTTCAAGAAATATTCTTCCTGTAAGAACCCGTAATTCTTATCATGAGAAGAATATTCTTAATGGTTTATTAGCTTTAAGAAATAAATTCTGAGAATAAGAACAACGTGGCGTGAGTTTCTTGAATTTTCTGGAAACGGGGATTCTTGTTCAAAGAATAAGGTTCTTGCTGACAGTAAAAAGTTCTTTGCACAAGAAAAAAATTATTCTTTTAGTGCAATGCAAGAACATAAATCTTAATCTATTTCTAGGTATCACAAGAATTTTGGTCTTGACAGAAGAAATATATTCTGGGTGTGAGATGAAGTAAGAAGCTATTTCTAGCAGATAAGAATGTAGTGTTCTTGGGATAAGAACGAAAATCTTGAAAGAATAAAATAACTTTCAGATTTATAGAATTTTAGGCTTGTATTGAGAACTGCAGTCTTTGTATAAGAACAATTGTCTGCATCACGAATCTTACTGTAAGAATAAGATTCTAGAAGTAACCAACAATAACTTATATAAAAACCTATAAGAAAAATATTCTTACTGCAAGAAAAAGTCTATCAAGAAAAAATTACTTAATTCGTGGACAAAATTTCGTTCTTGAATACAGAAAAATTTGCTTCAGGGAAGAAATATTTTCTGACTGTAAGAAAAAACAAGAATGCTAGAAATGTCATTTTTGGTAGTGTTCTCTCTCTTTGTCTCTGTCTCTCTCTCTCAGTCTCTCTCTCTCTCTCTCTCTCTCCTCTCTCTCTCTCTCTACTACTAGAGAGAGAGAGAGAGGAGAGAGAGAGGAGAGAGAGAGAGAGAGAGAGAGAGAGGGGGAGGGAGAGAGAGAGAAAGAGAGAGACCCTCTACACATACAAAGAAGGGTTAGGTGATTTTACCTGTTGTGGGAGTAGTAGCAGCTCCTGCAGTTGAAGAGCCAACTGTGCTGGTGGCAGCTGTTGTAGTGGTCACAGCAGGAGTTGTTGTTGGTTGAGGTGTGGTGTATATGAAAGCTGGCAGAAATAATTAGTAAAGAGAAAGAAAATTAGACTCAGTACACCCTAATATTTTGCCATAAACACTTTTGGCAAAGTTAAGTTGTATACTACTTAGTTTTAAGGGAATAACCTATCTAGACGGTTTTAGTCCATAAAATCACAATAATGACGCCATAATGATCTGTTTGGTACTCGGTCACCGCTGTCTTTACGTGTTGTGTCGCATACACCTGAATCCCATAGATGGGAGAAGTGGTGCAAATTTACCCCAGCACGATGGTCCGGTTGCTAGCCCTTTGTTCGCGTTGCTATGACTGATTGCGCCGACCACTCACCGCGGGGTGCCTACCTCGTGCCTGTACCCAGGCACTATACACATTGTCAAGTAAACACTGCAAATATCTCTCAAAATAACGTATGATCGGAATATCATGTCGAGAAACAACAGTAAGAATTGAAAAGAACACAGGTTAACTTTGTAAATAAGAAGAGGTAAAAATGTGACAGCAGATTACAGCGTTCAAAAAGTCCTTCTTGCGCTAGTGTTTAGTTCCGGCAACTTTTAGCAATTGAACTTTGACCCTTGCGACCTTTCTAATAAGGATTTTTTTCCAATTTACGCGCTATTGACATTAGTTGAAGTCCTAATCTATAATCTTACCGATATTTTTACCGATATTTTAATTTTATGGTATTAACCCTCAAACACCCGAGCTTTTTTGTGACGTTAATGCCCAAACGGGGTCCAAATGGACCCTACTTGGTTTCTTTCAATTTTATTTTCCTTTTTGCATTCTTTAAATGACCTTTGCACATATATTAGTTAAACATATTTAGACGTTTTTTTTGGCATGATTAAGTGTTAAAAATCCCCGCTCATTATCATAATTCATGCAAAAATAGGATGAGGCCTGCAGGCATGAACATGGGGTTGACCTTTGACCTCATATGATTGTGAAATTGTCAAACCTCTGAAAACCTGATGAAATAATTCCGGAGATGGAGGTGAATTGGCAAACTGCATAATATCAAAGCAATAATGCTTTCTTGAAGACATATTGAGGACATCCGAACAATTTTGTGTGTAGGAAAGTGCAAATACATGGCTTGGGTCCGTTTAGAGCGCAGACGGTCTTACATCAGACTTCAGTTGTTATTTTTACAAATTTGTGCCGATCTCCAAAAACAATTTGGAGAACTTGTAGAAGAGGTTTACTGACAAAGTCACGGGAGGAATTTTTTTTAGAATAAAAAAAAATACAAATAGCACATAAAAATAAACGTCTGGGGTCCAAATGGACCCCGTTCGGGTGTTTGAGGGTTAAACTCGATGTTTCAGGAAATAGTGAGGATATAATAAGTACCTGGAGCAGCCTGGCATATGAAGCGAAACGTATAGTCGCATTCTTCGTCGTTCCACTTGTCTTTCAGAGATGGCAGTGCGGAGTAAAGGACGCAATCTTCGTTGCCCCCAGCGCTGTCCGGTCGTCCCTGTCCCCAGGAGCTGTACGGCCCACGTGCAGAACCGTCCACCCACTCAAACCGCCCCTCTTCGCGCTGATCGTGTAGGCCGATCCAGAAGGCTCGATCGTCGTGCACGGAGTTGTACAGGGAGATGACGAAGGCGTTGGTATCAGCGTCTCGGGGCATGGCGAGGGTACCGCCGTCTGCACGACAGGCCGCGCCCGCATCGCTGAAGGTCTTGAGTGTGTTGAACGCCTTGTAGCAGATGTCACGCCACTTGGTGTAACCTTTAAGACAAGATGCTGTAAAAGAAGGTTTATATTAGCAACATGTCATAGAAGGGTCATATTGATATCATTATATACATGCGATAAATACCCCCGGGGATGAATTCCATAAACGAATATCCTATACGAAATCTAAGATAATTTTCGTAAATTTCGGGGTAGATTTCGGCCTAGATTAGGGTATATTTCCCGTGAGCCTCCATACAACAACTGTGGACTGTGTCCTTTCGATTTTTGGTGTTTTCCTAAAAAAATTCTTATTAGGCCACACCGACTTAATTTTATGGATGACATCCGCGCGCGCATTGGTTTTCGCTTGTCGCCCTCAAAAAAAAAAGAAAGATCACCTCCACCGAGGCTCTGGCCTGGCTCTAGTCCTGGGTAGTCCATGGTAGTCAGCGACAAAACGGCTATTTACGCATTAGGCAACTCTACTGTATTTTCTCTTCCTGAATATTGTTGTGCGATATTACTGTGTAATGTTAAGAACTTACAGGAAATATAAGAGTTGTACCAGTTAGGCGACTGTTACTCAGATGCCCCACTGACAATAATATCACGACATGCCGGCCATCGACAACGTAAAGTGATGACGACAACATTTTACGTTTATGCCAAATGATGTACAACATAAACTTATGACGACATCACTTTACATTCATGCCAAACGTTACCATAACATAACCTACGTTACGTTTAACTTACCATAACATAATCTACGTTATGTTAACATAACATAACCTACGTTACGTTAACATATCATAACCTACGTTACGTTAACATAACATAACCTATGTTACGTTTAACTTTAATACCATAACATAATCTGTTAACATAACATAACCTACGTTACGTTAACATATCATAACCTACGTTACGTTAACATAACATAGCCTACGTTACGTTAACATAACATAACCTACGTTACGTTACGTTATAAATAACATAACCTACGTTTCATATGGCATCATTTTTGTGTCAAAAATACAGACGTTAAAAACGTCACGTTTTGGGCTCAATACGTAACGTTCTTTGGTCAATACGTTACGTATGCTAGGTGAACGTTCACGTATGACATAACGTGTGGATACGTTACGTACGTATGGTTCTGAAATTTCTGTGTCAAAATTACGGACGTAAAAAAACGTCACGTTTGCAAGTCAATACGTCACGTACGTTTCATGTATATGTTAACGTAATGTTGGTTATGTTAACATATACATGTTAACGTCACGTTTTGGGGTCAATGTGTCACGTTTTTCAGTCAATACGTTACGTACTACGTGAACGTTTACGTATGACATAACGTGTGGATACGTTACGTACGTGTGCTTCTGAAATTTCCTGTCAAAATTACGGACGTAAAAAACGTTACATTTTTAAGTCAATACGTCACGTACGTTTCAACTATATGTTAACGTAACGTTGCTTATGTTAACGTAACGTAGGTTATGTTATGTTAACGTAACGTAGGTTATGTAACGTTAACGTTGGTTATGTTAACGTAACGTTATGTTATGTTATGTTAACGTAACGTAGGTTATGTTATGTTAACGTAACGTAGCTTATGTTAAGGTTGCTTATGTTAACGTAACGTATGTTATGTTAACGTAACGTTGCTTATGTTCACGTAACGTTTACATAACGTAACAGTTAGTACGTCAACCTTTCGTAGGTTATGTTATAGAGTTTAATGTTAACGTAATTGCGTTAACGTAGGTGTACGTTTAACGTAAACGTTATGTTAATGTACGTTCTTGTTAACGTAACGTATGTCATGTATGCCGTTTGTTACCGCAAAAGTGGACACACGCACTGAACACAACGCAAGAGTGGACGTGCATACGACGTGCTCACGGTTCACCGAATTTTGTTAACAAATTGACACCCCTTTACCTTTGCTAATGGTTCCGTCTATTTTAACGGTCAGGTCGCGTTCTAGTGACGTCATCACTTCATGTTGTGTCTGGCAAAGGCCCCATAACCGCGGGCCGTATAGAGTAGTAGGGACAAACTTCTTAGAGGCTGGTTTGAAAGAATTAAACCATGTGTTAACTAATTGATGTGGGGTATAGAAATATATCTGATACGTCTGCTTTGTTTTGACATTTTCTTGTTTGTGTACAAGTGTAATTTTAAATGAGTGAGTGCATGCTGCAGTTTAGCTCATCTCCGCTGGGCGTCGTTTAAAGTCAATTACAAACAAGCCAAGCAAACTTTAATGTACAACAACTGTAACGGGTACACTATATGGCAAGTTCTTGAGCAGTTCTGATCATCAAGACTAATATTTATGCAATGGCTTCAAATTAAAATGCTATATAAAAGCTTTATGTGCTTTGTTCCCCTACCTAAAAAAATGTCGTCATCAGTTTACGTTGGGTCTGGCTGGGCATGGCATGAACGTAAAACGATGTCGTCATCAGTTTACGTTGTCGCTTGGGTGCTGGGCAATGAACGTAAAACGATGTCGTCATCAGTTTACGTTGTCGCTTGCTGGGCAATGAACGTAAAACGATGTCGTCATCAGTTTACGTTGTGGCTGGCTGGGCATAAAGTTAAACGATGTCGTATAGCTGGCTGGAGGAGCTATTTAAAATAACGGTTACTAGCAAACCTACAGTACAGCTTATATATCACTTTCTTTTAGTTCTTTATTTACAAGAAAGTAATACAACATCGTTGCCCAATGCTTGCAAGCTGTGAATACCGTGACAGTCAACTTGCCCGAGGGGTGTCAGTCTGTACCCCCTTCCCCCTCCCCCATCTATTAGTGATATAAAGGAATGCTTGTTTCGAGAATCGATATATGGGGATTTATATGTGGGCGCCACATGGAATTATTAGCTGTTTTGTTTCTGTGTAAGCAAGGCCGCGGGATTTTTTTATTAATTAATTTCAAACCTTCTGACTGTTGCTTCACGGGGAATTACACATCATACTGTGAACACTGTGACAGACAATATTTTAGACCACACAGCATGACGGTCATTACACCTTCTGCTGTGTGTGTATTCGCTTTGCGACCCATAAAACTGGGCCGCACCTCTTTTGTCTTTAATCGGTTCATCACCTATTTCACAACAATAACACCAATGCATAACAGGAGCATTACGGGGCATAATTTCTGTTACTAGTACTACAGCTGGGCAAATCGTATCCGTACTTTTCCCTGATATGTTCCGAGTGTGACTGATAAATTCTATCACGGCCAGACTGCCTGTTCAGCCTCACCGTGATGATATTTTCTAGTTTTCTACCCCCACCTCATTTCCGGGTTCCCCTCTGCAACGTTACAACTGAAATACTTTCATCTCCATCGTGAACCTGCTTGTGTGTGTACGCTTGAGATAAGCCTGATTAAGCCACTCAGAATTCCATCTTTCTCCCTGCTTTGCGGTAGAACTCAGAGGAGAAATAATGTTAGTTGTCAGTTGTAAAAGGATCGATGTCTTGTCTTATAATAGGCTATTGTTAACAGATCTTGGTGGATAAAATACTGGGAAGTATTACAAGTTTTTACAATGAGCCCTTTGTTTCTACTGCTGGAGAAACGGCTCATCGGTTACATATCATGACATCAGTGTTCACACGTATGTGCTATGTTCACACCAAGGCCAGAACAAAGGCGTGTCGTTTCTTAAAGAAGTCATGTGGTGATTAGCAAGGGCCAGTTCGGTGAGGTTCCCACGAGCTCAGCTCCGACTCACAGTCACTGGCACTCATCGGTCTGAACATGGCGGACCCCGATACTAGTAGTACTAGCAGTAGTGAGTCTGACAATGAGGAGGAGTCCTTGGCTGGGGCAGGCACAGAGACAGGTAAGTGTTCCTCAATCAAGACACCCGGGACACATGGACAGCCATATCCCGAAGTATTCCTCGTCAACGAATAAATGAAACACCTCTATTGTAAACCTTCAAATGCAGTTTTATAATCTGTTACTTGAGAGGATGATATTTGCTGATTATAAATTCAACATACGTGTATCTCATCCAGGACGTTCTATGTCATATATCTCAATGTGAATGTTTTCGCTTCTACTAGATCAGCCACCCGTACGGGACTGGGAAGACGCCGTCAGATTGTCTGAGGCGGCCGCGGCTCGCCTGGGACAATCTGGCGTTCTCTTCTCGCCACCACCGGCTAGAACATCAACGCCTGTGCGCCAGCATCGCCGGCACCCACCGTTTAAACGTGACGTTATGTTGCTGGACTCTAACTCCAACATTGAGATCGCCCGTCCTCCCCGCGGCAATGAACGACAGCGTATCGTCGACGATGGCCGCGAGTTCAAGGACGTAATGTTCAATAGAGAAATGAATGCTCGTCAAGTTTTGGAAACTATTCGGAACGCCATCGGAGTGCATAACAGGTAAGTTAATTCCCATTTTTAATAATTATAGTCTATAGCCTCTACCAGGCTCCGAGAGGCGCCTGGAAAGAGTAGAAATCGGCTACTTTCCAAGCAGGGTTAAATGTTGGGAAAATCGTTCAAGTTTTGCTGTCGCTACCCCAACCAGCGACAGACGAAAAACGCGTTTCCCAAGGACATTATACACTGCGGAGAGAGATTACATGCATGTCGCGGGAACGGTTGGTCCGCTGGAGTATAATCTCCAAGCAGCTCTTTTGGTGGGGGTAAGACAGTATGAAATTGGCCAGTCTGTCTCCATTTCCCCACCCAAATATCTGCTTGGAGATTACTGGAGTACACTGTACTCTTTCTAGCAGAGCAACTCCCCTGGCATGTTTATCTCTCTCTATTTGGCCAATCTTTTCTAGGCGCGTCTTGAAGTCTGGTTGAGGCTACATTGTACCTAAAGTACTGATGATAGATGATTGTCAGATCCATGTAGATATTTCCAGGGAAAGCATTACATATGAGTCTGTACATATACAGTACGTTACATGTAGAATATGATGTATTCCTAGTTGCTCGTAACGCATCACAGTATGAGTCACAGGGTTACTCTCTGATAGCCTGAGTGTCAGCCTTGTTAGCTTTCGTCCGCTACCCAAGGCTTGGGTAGCGGACGAAAGCTAACAAGGCTGACACTCAGGTTAACTCTCTGAAGCAGATGTTAGATAATGGTCACTGCCCTTCACTTTGGATTGATTAAAACGTTACTTGGATTGATCCTGACCTTTGCATCCGAAATTCAAATCCATGGCTAAAATACAATGCAGCGACATTCCCCCAAAAGTCTATTGATTTATATGAAATTCGGTATTGGTAGATTCGGTCACGCTGTGATAAGCGGATCAGAACATCGACAACCCGGTGGGATAATATTGCAGGGAAGCTCGGGACAGAAAAAAAAAAAAACGGGGCGAAAACGGAGCATCGGACAGCCAACAGGAAATTATAATGCTGTTCTGCCAAAAATGGCTTTCGAAGACTCTTGCTGAGGAAAAAACTCTAGCCTAGTCAATCTGCAGGTATCATGACGTAATCTGTCGTAAACTCACGGTCCGACCTGTTTTGCGACCATTTCTCGAATTCAACATGGCCGCCGATCGCCGACGATTTGTATGGAGTTACATGCTCCGAGGCCGTGTTGTGGTTAAATGCTGCGTTTGTTTAGGGTCTTATCCCCCCGGCCCGGCAGGTGAGTGCGTCGGGAAGCCAGGGACACCAAAAATCCGGGGCCGGCCCGTTGAATTAATGAGGCCCGGCACGGCAAAGGTTGGTTTTGGCCTATGAAGTGCCCCATGACTCATGGCATTACCATACAAAAACAAATTATTACTAGAGTCGTCCACGGTTAAGTCAAGAGTTGCCACGCCACGGCTACGCTGCTATTAGAGTCGCTGTAAGGAATTTCATCGTCATGTGGTAAATCATGGACTCTACTCTACTCTACCCCAGCGATGCTTGTGTCCAAGGTAACGACTTTCAAATGACCTTTTGTCTGACATTTTACTCGTCTCTCTTCACAAAATTTGGGGAGGGTGGCAGAATTGTGGGTCTTCCTAAATATGCTGTTAAAAAAAAATAAAGGTGGTTGGGGGTGGAAGTTGGATTGGAGGGAGGATAGGGGTCAACCATCAGGATTGAAACTAGGTTAGGATTGGAAGAAATTCAAGATTAGAAGTATGGTAGGGTTTCAGCAAATTTTAATTATGAGCAAATGTTATTCAGCTATGTTATGTACAATCTATATTAACTATATATTAACTATCT